TCTGATAAAATATACTCACTAATTTTTATTAATCAGTTTATGCTACGAATAATATATGCTTCGAATCATAATAATAACAACAAACTCGATGCATAACTCACCGTTCATCATCCAGAAATTCGCCCAGCTCAACGCACTCGATGAACGATTCCCCCAATGTGGCACATTCTATCAATTCCTCAATTTTTATCTGCAAACACAAATGATCAAAATTCAAAATGGAATGCATAACAACTCGATGAAATAAACCAATTCCAACTTAACTATCTAATTCAACTAATATCTTGAATTCAAATTTCAAAAATAAATCATAAATTGTGTTCATCAAATGTCGATTAAGTATTCCCGATAAATACAAGTTTAGCAATAAATATAAAATCACACATGATCATATTTATAGTCATTCATTACTATTATTATATTATCATGATAATAGTGATTATTATTATGGTATAATTTCTGTATTGTATCATAAATATATCATTTAATAAACAACAATAAAAATAAATAAAAATACCAATTTCGGGTTGTCAAGAACCATTCTTATCTGTACATCTGTTAATGCGGCTAATAAAACAACAAACTGAGGATCAGATTCGAACCAGTGAAAATCCAATAAACATACTAATAACGCGGATAGCATAAAACATAGTGAACGATATTCTTCAGCTGAATTATTCAATACTATTATAATATTATGATGATGGAGGTGATCATTATTATTGTTATCATTTTTATAATCACTNCATCAACATCATTCATATTATTTATAACGTCCCTCTAAAGTAATTGTCTTCCAAAGCAAACCAAAACTCACGCAAATGTTTCGTTTGAATGAGTCGTCGTATAACGACTCTCAGGTGGGTGGGTGATGAACGCTTCGGGAAGTCTCTTTCATTCAAATATTCCGTCTCGTTAACCAATTTTTTCAGTAACTCACCAACAATATTCAACAGTATCTTAGATGGCAACTGAAACACACTTCCACTTGAATCCAAACCCGAATCAAAATTTGAAAATTCAAAATTGTCAAGCATTTTTTAAAACAGAATTAATCTGAAGCAAAAACACTTCCATCGCAAAATAAATCGCTGGATAAAATCTAACCTCATCGGTGTGTTCATACAAATTCTCCGCGATCAAATCAACCAATTCAATTATATCATCGATATCCAACATTCCGTTACTAATTTGCAATAGCACACTGCTAATATTTTCCAATTTTGCCACTTCCCAATTCCTTTAACCAAATGAAAGGAATTATTTTATAGAATCAAATGAATGAAATCTCTCGGAATTCTTCTTATCCGCACGAATTTTACTTTGAATATCAGTTTTTCATAATATATAATGCGAATTTTCTCTTTAATTGAAAGAAGAAAGACAAAGTTTT